CGACGACTACTACTACTACTACTCGTCGATTACTACGACCGGTTTAATCATTTTTTGATTCTAGTTTTTTTTTGTCTTTCCTTTTCAGGTTTTTCTGCAACCCTGTTGCTTTTTTTGCTGGTTGATTTTTGATCCTTATTTTAATTTTTGGTGGCTCCGTCACCCTTGAAGTGAAGGGACCTATTGGATGTTCTTGACTCGAGGCCGACAATTCTGTCACTGCGTCACTGGGTTCGAAGTCGGTCGTCGAGAGGTGGTACGGCAGACTTTTCTATTGCCCTGCATTGGATGGTTTGGGGTTTACATTGGGGTTTGGATCGAAAGTCCAGAAGCCTCAGTTTCAATGCAGTCAAATCTAGAAGCACTTGTGCTTCGAGATGATTTTGGCCCAGTGCATCCTGAGATCCTCGGAGCAGGAGCTGCAAAGTCTCTCAACCTCAGTCCGCACACTCTTAATCAACTGTCGTGAGCGTTTATGTTTGATTCTAGCTTGTTCTGATTTTTACGGTTCATATTAGTTCGTATACCCACTGCCTTGCTTTTTCTAATCGACACCGTCCCATACCAAGATGTCGACGGCAGCTCGCTTAGCGGCACATGGTGTCTCGTGCTCAGCTGCAGAGACGATATATGCGACCCTGGGCTTGCAGGGGCATGCCAGACAAGCGGATCATGGGAAGGAGTTCTGATCACCGACGCGTGGTACAGTTCCGGAACTTTTGAACCAAGAGGTGTCTGCCTGTCTGACCTCGATCTTGTTCGGTTCCTCCACTCAAAAGCCGGGCTTAATCGTTGAGTTTGACCTGATCCTCCAACCTAAGCTACCATCGGAGGCTTGAGGCCGAAGGTAACCCTCGTGCAAGGCTAGGACACGCCCACAGCAGGCAGCTGTTGGCCACTTGCCTCTTGCAAAAACTCTGTTGCTGTCCCCTGCTGAAAGCTTGCTGAAACATTGTTCATCCAACACTCAGCTGCAGGTCATGGGGAGCCGCCGCGGTGATCAACTTTCCGTCTGTCTCAGAACCGCGGGGTGGTTCGGACTTGCGACAAAACCTCCTTGGTTGTCTGAGCCTGTTGACGTGACCCGAACTCGCCCTAAAACCTTGCTTTCAGCCGGTCACCTCCCAAGCTGCAGCCCCCACGCCAAAGAGGGCTGGACAGAATCAGCTTTGATGAAAAAAGTGCTGGCTCCCCGAGTTCCTGCTTTGCTTCGGAGGCAGGGCGGTGCCTTAGTGAGGCTTCGTCTTTCCCGGATGCTAGGTTCCCGGTTCCCAGAAACCAAGGCCAAAGGGACTAAACTGAACCCCGGATCCCGAACCAAGCAGCGCGCAATGTTCAAGATTCCACGGCTTAGGGAGCATAGCCAGTGCAAGGGCCTGCAGACGCCTGGCTGCATGCCTCGCCGACGAGTTGGTAGACTGGCAGACGTTGCCTGCACAAGCTCATGGATATGTCGGAAATGTCGGCTCAGCAATGAGTGGATGGTATGCGGACACTGCAGAGTCAGTCTTTTCATGAGTTGCAGCAAGTACAGGGAGACAGTAAGTGCTCAGCGGCTTGGTCTTTGGGCCAGTTCTTCCAACTTACTTAGCATGGCCAACCTGGGTCTAGGTCCATGTAGACCCAATTCCACGCCAGCAGCTGCAACCCCCTTAGACCAGCGTTGACAGGCCGTGCGAGCATTGGAAGGTCTTGCGATCGATGCTTCACCGCGTTAGGGTTTTGAAGTTCCCTGGGCCAGCTGGCCACCAGCTCCATGTTCCAACAAACATGGGCCTCGGAGGACATATGCGGGGAGATGGGAAACGTGCAGTCATATTAATATGAGTCCGAAGAGTTCGGGGCCTGAGAGCATCGCGCACGGAACTTTGCCATACACCTACAGTCAGGCGTGGTGCGCTAGTACATAGGACTCTCAAGTGTAACAGCAGCTGAGGGACCTCGGCATGGCGGATTTTCATAAAGCAGCTGCGGCTACAGCTGTTGCATGATCATTTCGAAATGATTTGCTCTTATCCCAAAGAAGCAGCACGCATGTTCTGTTTGGTCCCAGTCCAGGATGCCACATAGCCAGCCTGGGTCCTAGGCCTAGACCGTGACGGCTTGATGTTTCAGCCTCTTCTCGTTCGAAATGACCTTCAAATATCCGTTCTCTCCGTTGTGAAAACTCCGGGCCTCAAATGTGAAAAGCTCCTCTCGGCAGGAAGAGGCCGTCGGCAATTTCATAGCGCAGCTTCAGTTCACTCCGGAGGAGGGCGGGCGGGTCGCACGGAATCCTTGTACAAGTGCAGCTCGATAAAGCTATATAAAGGGCAGCAGCGCGTTTCTTTTTTGGTATGTGTGTGTGTGTGTTTTCTAAATGTTTTTGTTGGACAGGAGAGCTTTGCAAGATCCACATCCATGCCGCTGTCGTTAGGGCACCAAGCACGCAGTCAAAGGTTTGCAGATATCGGATTTTTTCAAATCTCCACGGGTGCTAGGCTTAAGCTGTCATCGTATTGACCTGTTTTCTCACATGTGTTCCCGCGTGGCCGACCTATTATGTTTGCAGAGGCAGAGACCGTAGTGTATCGTTGGGCCTGATGAACGTCGTCCAACCGGTCGTGCATGATCGAGTGCTCGGCCACCTCGGCACCGTGCCCGGCAGCTTGTGGAGGCACAGGCAGCGCCAGCACTGGACTCCAATTCGCCCGAAGCTGTGCCCGGCCTCCAGTGCCCTCTTTGCTCTCGGAGCCCTTGTGGCCAGCCGGGCCCATGGCAAGCGGCTTCGGTTCCGCAGCAGTGCTCGCTTTCAGAGCCAAGGCCAAGGCCAGTGCCAACCCCTGACAGATTTCCCACTGCCGGACGGCGTCACACTCACGGAATACATGATTCAACACACTGACATCATGAACTGCTCCATCCCCTACGACCTCCCCGAAGCTCCAGTATCCGCCTTTGACAGTGTGGCACACTTCGTAGATGTGCAGCTCGCTGCTGTCATAGAGATGCTCCGGGAGGAGATGGGCCATATGCTTGACGCGTGCTGCAAGGTGACACCTCCTGGGCAACATGCACGCTTGCAGTATCTCGGAACCTCGTTGAACCGCTGTAACATAGTAGCAGATGGGGGTCGAGGCATGGCAGTGATGGAACTGATGCCGCTGCCGCAGCGGTTTCCTGTGGATTCGAGGTCGCCATGGAGCAGGTTCATGCTTCTTGCACAGTGCGGAGCTCCCGGAAAGAAGTCCAACCGACTCAAGGATGTTGGCCTGGTCTTTTGCGAAAAAATGAACCAGAGGGACGGACTGATGCTGCGGGCTCCGGAGAGGGTGCTAAAGGAGCTGCAAAGTTGCATGATGCAAAGTGACTCCACGTGTTTCTGGAAGCTACAGGGCTTCAACCGCATGGTTATGGATCCCCTGGCCGTGCTTCAGAAGCTGCGCAGTGCACCTCCCACTGAGCTGTGCCATGCGCTGTTCTTTGGCGAGATACCTGGAGGTTCCGAGAGCGATGTGGATCTCTGTCAGCGCTTGGACTGCTGGGTGGCGGCGAACCCCTGCGTGCCGATGATGTTCAACCGGCAGCAATGCCGCGCACTGGCACTCGAAGCGCTCACGGCTGCAGGGCCGGTTGTGGTGCAAGGGCCTCCAGGCCAGGAGAAGTCGTGTTGCACGCCTTTAGATTTTTGGTTTGAGCATGGGCAGGAGAGGTACGCCTTTGATGTTGAAGTTCGGGTAGATGCTTTTGCGGGGATCGCATGGGGTGGTTGATGCTGGCCCGACTGCGTACTGAGATGCTATTGACATGGCCCGAGCTGTCTCGAATCGCTGCTGGGTTTTGCATGGCTAAGCAAAGAAGTCGGACATGGTAGAGTTCGATCCTGGATCCTCCATCCCCAAGGCTCCGGTGAAGTGAAGTTGGCGCTGAACATTGAGCATGTGCTGGCCTGTAAATATCAAGGTCCTCCTTGAGCACGCCCTTCTGAAGCGGGCTAAGCCAGAGAATGCAGCTCTGCATCTGGGGTTTTGGGGGCTCGAGATAAGTGCAGAGTATCGGCAGGTTGGTCGTATTTCAAGGCAGCTCAACGGGTAGGGTTGCTCCTGCAGCATGCGGACGGACGAATCATGTCTTGTTCCTAACTGCTCATTCCAGTCGGTTCGCAGGCACCGGCAAGTCACACTTGATAGCCCACGCGCTCCTTCCGCAGATCATCCAGCGCGGTGGTCGTGCATTGGTCTTGTGCAACAGCAATGCTGCGCTGGATTCCATCGCAGAGAAAGTGCTAGATCCTGGCGAGTTCATTTCCAACGGCGGCTACGTCTCTGCTGAATCGAGGTGCGAGTTTTCGGAGAAAGGGTTGGTCAGTGTGGCCGCACGAACACTTAAGACACCACAGGCCCTAATCTCCGACAAGAAACCTCGACATTGTTTGGCCGCCCATCCGCCCGCCCGCCCGCCTGCCACCTTTCTGGTCACTGCAGCGGTAAGCTATGGTTTACCGTATGTTGTGCAACCGAGGTCGATATAGGGTGTGAGAGCCGTCAAGCCACACCGGCTTGGGAAGGGATAGCAATCTGGGGGCAGTGATGGGCAGTGTTGAGCAAGTCGTGGGCTGATGTGGGAGGTGGGCGGACGGAACTCCCTGCACCTTTGAATCTTCGATGTCGCAGCCCGTTACACGGATCTTGGACTGGTTTTGCATGAAGTGGGCATGAGGTGCTCTGGGAGTCCTGTTGGAGCGCTCGTCTCCCGGCATACTTGTGCCTTTGACACGCCCTCCTAATGAGTCCGAATGAACGCTTGCCAAGGGTAGATTTCAGATAAGGACTGGTCCACTTTTGAATATTACGTGTAGTCAAGACCTTACGCTCTCGTTTTAACGTTGGTCCGGGAAGCCTTCGACTCCGATGAGTTCGAACAGGACCAAAAACCTGCAGTGTCTGAAAACGAGACAAACGCCAAAGGCCAATGTGAAATCACATGCCCATTACAACGGCTGCACGTAGTGCTCTTACGAATGCCATTGAATGCTTGCTATATGAAGGTTTATATGCTGGCATTGCACATGCATATGATGGGTCTTGGTGTGTGTGTGTGTACGTATAGACTTAGACATGTAGCTTTCTGTATGTATATATACATGTTATCATGTTTGCATGTATGTTTTTGAAAGTGAAATGGCGCACCATGTTGCAGTGCACACATGAAGGTGTAATGCTGGCAATTGTGTCGGCTTTGCGACGCTTTCCAGGTGCCTCCGCGTTGGGTTCGAGAAGAGAGTCAGCAAAAAAGTGCTCCAGGCGGGCTGGTTCCGACAAGACAATGACATCACGGAGGTCAGCAGCGGCCGGAAGTCAGTCGTTTTCACGACGTTATACAATTCAATTGCGAAAAATTACGATTTTGCGAAAGCCAATTTTGACACGCTGATCATCGATGAAGCAGGACAGGTCGAGGACTGGAAGTTGTTTATTGTGCTGCAGACGATTACAAGCCTCAAGAAAGTGATTCTAGTAGGTGACCATAAGCAGCTGCAGCCCTATGTAAGCGACGGTGTGCGAGTCAAAGGGTATGGAAGGAGTACAATGGAGAGGCTGGTTGCCGGCAACGATAGAGCAGGAAATGCCGGCATCGATTTCATCATGCTGGAGGAGCAGCACCGAATGCCCCCTTCTGTGCGCAACATCGTCAGCAGGGTCTTTTACAACAACAAGTTAAAAGACGGGCCGAATATTCTGGCGAAGAGCAGGCGCGCAACCTCCGCGAAAGCAATTGTTGCCTTCGACTTGTCGTTTGGCGGGACCAAGTTCAAACCACTTGAGCGATCGTTGGAGAACTTGGACGAGGCGACCATCTCCAAGCTCATTTACGACCACCTTCTGCAGGCATCAAGCTTTTACACAGTGCGTGACATTTGCGTGTTGTCCCCATACAATCGACATAAGAATCGATTGCGTACAATGCTCGCTGGAATTCCAGAGACGGACTGGGCGAAGTGGGAGAATCTGAATCCGGACGTCGTCATGGATTCTAGCATGGATGACCAAACTGCAGCAGTGCGTAACATCGACACAGTGGACAAGTTCCAGGGCTCGGAACGAGAGGTTGTAATCATCAATACCGTCAGTGGTTGCCTGGAAAACAATGAGCGTGCTTGCGATCCACACTTTATCAATGTAGCCATGAGCCGATGCAAGAGCTTGCTGGTGCTGGTCGGCAGGCTAACAGAACTAGGAAATGGGGGTGGCAGCTGGCAGCGAATCATGACTTTCCTTCGGGAGGCCCAGGTGCAGGCGCCTCACGGGGCAAACGCAGAAGACGTGCTTATTCGTCAGTGCGGATCAATGGAAGAGGCGAAAGTGGATGTTGAAGCATGTCTTCACTCTGTGTTTCTGCCGGGAAGCATGACTGCCGATGGACCTGATGCCAAGAGAAGCAAAGTTTCAGGAAAGCACCGATAACTTGCTCGACAATTCCGTTTTGTTAGTGCTAGTCAGCGAGTCTCTCCCTGATGTGGTGGCTCGCCCCAGAATTGATAATTAGACGCATGTTACTTCGGCAGGGTGGATTTGCGATGCGCAAAAATGGTGAGCGCACGACTCCCTGCGATGGCTGAAAGAAATTTGGCATGCTTGTTAGGCAGGATTGAGTTCGCTGAAGTCCCAGTTAACGATATCCATGCCAACGGGCTTGGCCATTCAAGGAGCCGCGTGTGTAGAGGTGACCAGGTTTGAGTCCGAATTCCGGAAACCATCATGGGGCGAAATCCCCTCTAGAGTACCATAGAATGGCAGGGAAACGATTAAACGAAGCTACAATTATTATGCTGGTGGTAAGAGGCGGAGAGAGACAATTTTCATAGTAGGCGATGGCGCAATGCAAACTCAAACGCCCGTCGAAGTTGAGTGTTTTCCTGGCCTGAAGGCATCGACCCACCTCTGACACACCAAAACACCCCCAAATGCGCTCAGCAGCATGCCGCTGGCCCGAGACCTTCACTTGCCATCCGAACCATATCAGTTGTAGCTGCAAGTGTGATTGCTGTCTTTCCAGTCGACCTGTGAGAAGTGCCTTCCAAGTGAATGAGGGCCCCAACCCACGAACCCGAAAGCCTAAGCCAGGAGTCGGCCTTCCTCTGGGATTTGACCCCAGAGATACGGGCCATTATCATCAACAACTTTCGGCCGGAAGCATAGGGCGTGATTTGCCAGGTGGAAGATTTTCTCGAGGATAAACCCAGTACAGAGTCAACAGTAGCCTGTATCCGGAATCCTCGGTTCTGCTCACACGACCGATCTTGGGACAACTTTCCGGAGCTTACAGGGCTAGGCGACAGCAATGTGTTTGGAGGTAGTTCTTCTGCAAGAGGTCACTCTAGTTTTCCCATGACACGGCCAACCTCGAAACCCTCGCAGCTCAGCATGAGCGAATTCTTACTCTGCCAGACCCAATCAGTAAGGCCGGAGTATTGGGCTGTTGGGCCAGGCATGCAAGAAGACAAGACCCATGGGCTCCTTACGAAGATGTCATGAACCCTCTTGACTTTGATGCTATTGTAGTGCCTCTGCTGCGAAGAGTAATGTCGCTCAATGGTGTCGCATGCCCGTCCTTGCTTGCAGGCAGTGATGTCAAATCCCTATCAGCCTTGATGGTCAGTGCTTGGGTTTCGCTTGGGTTATAGTTCTGCTTGGGCGGATGCTTGTGCTGCTTTGCCAATGCTACGTACTAGTTGTCGTCGTCGCCATAGTCGGCTACTGCAAGCAGTAGTGCTAGTACTACTTTGGATCCACCGTAGTTCTACTACTAATACTAGTAGCAGTCGTAATTAGTAGTTGTAGTCGCAGTAGTAGTGCTACTACTCCTCCTGCTGCTGCTAGTGCTGCTGCTGCTTCTACTACTGCTGCTGCTGCTACTGCTACCGCTACTGCTACTGCTACTGCTGCTAGTACTAGTACTAGTACTAGTACTAGTACTAGCACTAGTACTGGTACTAGTAATAGTACAACACTACTACTACTACTACTACTACTACTTCTTCTACTACTTCTACTTCTGCTGCTGCTTCTGCTGCTTCTTCTACTACTACTACTACTACTAATACTAATACTAATACTTTTGCTACTACTTTTGCTACTATAGCTACTACTACTACTACTACTACTACTACTGCTACTGCTACTGCTACTACTACTACTACTACTACTACTACTACTAGCCAGCCCCCTGGCGCGTAAACCCATCATCATCATCATAGTTCGTACTGGACTACAACATCACGAAAAGTAGTGCAAATGCCGAGTAAAATGGAAGTGCTCTTAACAGTACATCATCATGCCGCTCCCAGCACCTGTGCTAGCTTCCAAAACCTCAATCTGAACGCGAAAGTCTGAACACTGGACCCAGACACTTCGGCCCTAACGCATGATGTGCAAGATCTTGCCCGCTAGTGCCCTTCAATCAAGGCCAGATGGCACCAAGGACCCGGTTGCTAGGGTTTCTGTTCTGGAACTGGACGAGGCTACAGGGTGAAGCAGCGCACGAGCTCAAGTTTTCCGGAACTTAGGATTCCGGTGAGGTTGGCAGGGAAAGGTTTGATGGCTGTGTCCTGCAGCGACTGTGACAAGCACAAGTCGAGGTGTGCCAGGTGACAAGGCCCAGGTCCCTGGAAATGAGGTTCGCTCGACGTGTTGGACACCTTCATGAACACTCTTGGGCAGACTGCAAACCCGTTGCGCATTTCTCGTAGCTACGTTGGCGTGTCGAAAGCACCCGAGTTCGTCGTTCAGCAGGATCAAGATACTTTAAAGCTTTCACTTTAAGCGACCACTGCAACCACAACAGAATATGAAGGTATGAGTGCAATTCTCTTCTGTCTCTTGGCAACCTTGTATAAGGGCTGAAAGTGCTCTGCCGAGGCAGACTTTTCGGTCTCGCTAGGATGTCACTTGGCCGATGCATGGCATACTCGTTTAGGACACTTCGATGTGCATCGTTGCTTGTGACCCTTACAGAATGTTAGGATGGCAACATGCTGGGACGACTGCAAGGGTGCGCCTGGGGCCTGGGGGTGGCAGTGGTTCGAGGCATGGCCTGGAGTCACGAGCCATCATGAGCCTCAGACCTGGGCCCGCGCGAAGACAGGTTGGGCTGTTGGACCGAAGGTTGGTACTCTTGGGGGTCGAGAGTTGGGGTGTTGGGGGTAGAGCCCTGCTTCACAGGGCGTTGGGGCTTCAGGCTGGGGCTTTGGGCTTGGAGCCTGCGATTCAAGATTCTACATTCTTTTGGTGGTTCCAAGCGACTGGATGTCAACTCTGCCCAGTTAATGAGCGAGTTTCGATGTCATCCGGTCGAGCGACAGTCTCGTCAGTCGAAGAGTCCGGCATTGCCGATGGCATGCTGTACAGTCGTTCAAGCCATCCCCCACCTTTACTTCAGCTCCCTACACGTTATGGCTTCGCCATGCGAAGCTACCTGTAAATGAAGGCTGTGGGTGCCGCTTTCTTCCAGGTGGTATCAGGCCGTGAGGCCAAGTTCATGGATTTTTGATGTTACAGTCACAACACCCAAGCGACGCAGCTCGCGATTTGGGGCAGATTCGGGTCTGCATGCTTGGAAGTAACTGCAGCCCCAAGTCCCGACAGTCTTCACTACAGGCCTGAACTAGATTTTGCCGGCTAAACATTGTTGAAACTTGCATCAGGTACACCCGGAGCGTGCTTCAAAGACAGGGCCTTCCCATCCCACACTCCTTGGCCTTGGAGAACATCGCACGCCCCGAGGTCCTTTGGTGGGGCTTTCTGGATATAGGCATCAGGGAGGTTGCCCTTGAATCATTAGAGTATGAAAGTGTCGCCCGGGCACGTGTACCGCGAACGGTTGGTTAGAGCCAGAGTCGCCCTCCGCTGCAGGGATCATATAAAGACTAAAGTCGACTAAACATGTCTTTGCCACAGGGTGCAAGCCGAAGCCTTGCAATCTGGTACTCTTTGCTGTGAAATCACACAATTTGGAGGAACCTTGCGCTGTGTCGCCTATCCATGCCTGCTGCAGATTCAACTCTCTTGCACCTTCTCTCTGTCTTATATTTGGTCACCCTGGAGAACACGGAGTGCTGGCTTTTCCTGGGATTGTTGTGGCTTCGTATGCGAACCCCTGAACCTTAAAGACCGACTTGTGGAGAGTTTGATGGCAAAAAACGCCCCAAGCCGACATGGAAGCCTGAGGAAGAAAGATAGCCCAACGAAGACTACCCGGCTGCCCGTATGTGCTGAAGCCCGCAGCCGGCATGACATCCGGAAGCAGCGAATCCAAATAAAACAGAGCTGCAGCTCCGGCCCATCTGCAGGAGGCCAACTGGGGCATAGGCCCTTCACCAGCCCCCATGGTCAACACAAGCACCGGCCCAAGTTTTGTTCCAGGTTTGGGGCTGTACCCGCTGCGTAGGGCCTAGCATCTTGCACTCATAAGGGCACGTGTTTCCAAGGCCTCAAGACGAACGACATACAGTGCCCCAGAGCCAGCCCGAAGAGCGGTGAGGCTATGCTGCTAGCCCGTGGGATCCCTGGTCTTTTGCCAGCCGGCCCGGGTGCCCAGCTCTCCACTTTCACTCTTACGCACGGCCTTGCTTTTGCTTTGGTTCTCCCAACCTACCCTTGCGTAGGCGTCTTCAGCTTCACCCACTCAATCTTACACTCCCACTCACTCTTGTTCGTTGTCCAGGATCTTACACTCTTGCGGTTTGACAAGTTCTCTCTTGCTTTGCAACTCAAGCGCTTCCCCATCGACCTTGCTTCGCCAATGACTGCCAGCAATGCAAACTGCTTGTTAGGAACAGTAAACAAAAACCAACAGAACAAAAGCGTATGAAAGAGCACAGGAGTCAGGCAATAAGAAAGCGTGGCAAGAAAAACTCAGAGAGAGCGCGAGAGTAACAGAGACAAGGAGGGAGATCGGGCTTCGAGCAAGCGCTCAATAATGCGCTATTGCAAACCATGATTCTCCCACAAGTCCCGGTGAGTCTTACATTCCTTGTTGTTGACATTCTCCTTCGCGTCAGCGCAATTCGAGGCAAGTTCAGCCAATTGTCAGGGGTGTGTTGTCAAGCAACAATGAGCCACGTCAGATATCCATCGTAGACATGAAGCCGGGGTACGACGTAGTTCTGACTCTCCGCACGTGTTCCGGCTCCCAATTTATCCGGAAGGTGGGCAATCCATGGGGCGATCATTGCAGCATCCCTTCGTGAAGCGGATGGGAACCTTATCCCGTAATCTCCGCAATATCAACCTTGATGTATCACTCAGTCCGACCACGCACCTTGAGACCTCGCCTGGCTAGTCCGAATTGTGAGAGCATAATCTCCGGAATATTTCCAAGGATTGGCCTCAACGACGAGGGTGCCCAGTTCCTGGCGTCTCTACCCGAGGTCTGGGAATAGGGGTGCGCAGGTGAGGAGGGAGCGGGTGGTGCCAGCTCAGTGTCACAAGGCAGTCCGTGCAGATTGCCCTGGTTGCAGTGTTGAACAATAACGTTGTTTTCCCATAGCTTGCCGGGAGTCAGGGTTGTCAAGGGTTTTGTATGGTTTTGCACGAGAATGGTATACATATTTAACGACAAGGCTTTTGGCCTGTAGGCCTTGTCTACTTTTGTTTCAGCTTGGCAGCGCGATTTCACCATGCATGTCGCTGTGTTTCCTTGCAGCAACTTTTGACTTCCTGCTACTTCCGTCCCCTTAATATTGAACCGGGGGGCCCTCCACTTCCCCCGATAAAGGCTCGGAAAGTGTTACTGTTGCTATTAATTATGGTGTATTTTCTTTTGAGGGCTCTTGCTCCGGGGTTGGCTTTTGCTCCTGCTCCTGCTGCGTCTCTTGCACATGATCGCTTGCTCTTACTCGTGCTCTGGCTTTTGATCTTGCTCCTGCTCTTACTCTTGCTGTTGCTCTTTCTCCTGCTCTTGCTCCCGCTCCTGCTCTTGGTGTTGCTCCTGCTCTTGTTCTTGCTTCTGGTCTTGTTTTTGAGCCTGCTATGCTCTGGCTCTTGTCTTGCTTCTGCTCTTGCTCCTCCTCCTGCTCCTGCTCCTGAACTCCGTCGAGCAAACCAGGTTTTCAAGGGCCGGGATGATTTCGGTAAGATCGGCCCCAAAGTGTTTTTGTTATTATGAGAGCGGTGTTCAACAGATGGGTGAAGGGAGTACTGTCATGATACTGCTTCGTCAACTTGCATTGCGATATACTTGTTGGCTCTTATGTTTCGGCGCTCGCCCTGGGACTGTGCAGGCGAGGCAGGTTCAATAGTCTGGACAGTAGAAATCTGCTACGGTACAGCTCACGCATTCTTATTGCATCGAAGATCCCCGCCTTTGCACGCTTTCGGGTGGGGCTTTCTGAGTTTGGATCGTAGGGTCGCACTTGCGCAACGATGCCGTCCAGCCGGCATCAGTAGAATACGTTGGCCCGGAGCCATCCTTGGCCCACAGAATCACAGCAGGAATTGCTGAAAGCCAGCATTCAGAGCTTCGATCCCGCCGGCACCAAGGACGACGAGCCAGAACCCAGTGCTAAGTGCTAAGTTTGAGGGCTCGTGGACAGAAGTCTGAGAATTTCAATTGTCCTGCTGGGGAGCTTGTAACGCAAATCACGTTTTTAGTTCCCAGACGGTGGTAGCACGAAGGGTTCGTAAGTTTGGTGTAGTGAGCTTTAGTCCCTTAGCCCGGGCGCGCACGGCGGTTCTTCCACGGCTCCCGCTGACATTCTCGACTGAAGCCGTGTTCTTTCTAAATCCAGTGTAAACCATATTACTTATGTCCTTCCAAGCTTCTGTATTTTGTGTTCTTTGGGACGGTTCTAGAGCCGAGGGTATGTAGTGCTTGGACTACCAGGTCTTCTTTCACTGTTCGGCGTTTGTGCTGGCACGCTTATGATTAAAGTCGCTGCCAGAAAAAGAAGCCACGGATGCCTCCACTTTAGCCAGGAGTGCATCTATTTCTCTTCGACCTTATCGAGTGGAAGCTCATGCTCGCAGCACAAGATTCAAGCACTGTATGGGCTTTGTCTACCACCGTCAACATTGCACAAGGCAAAGGGCTATCCCACATACAGCTTTGCACGAGTTTGGACATTTTACTCCAGTCACAGTGGAAGCAGAGAAAGAACCGTTGCAAATAACAACAGTGCTTGACGGCAGTTCTCGCTAGGATGGCAATGTGTGGGGACGTCTACTCGGCTTTATCCGCGGCCTTTGGATGAAACGCGCGAGGCTTATTGGTGTGAGGTCAAGGAAGTTGATTGAGGTCGAGTCACTGTGCGGTCCGCGTTGAGCCCATCGCAGAACGATTCGTCTTTCGCTAGGAAACATAATTAAGACTTCTGTGCTACCGAGCACCCCGAGCCAAAATGACCCAAACCACCCAAAGCGCCACGCCCTTAGAAGAGTAGGAGGCGAAAACTAACAGACAACATGCTTGGAAAATAAACTAGCTGCAGTGGTGAGTTCATCATTGTAGGCTTGCTTCTCGCCTGTTTCTTCGACACTCCCGTAGCGGTCCACCGAGGCCTTCAGCTGAACGAGGAGGCTGCCTGCTCGAACGGAGAACGACTCGCCACTTAGTTTGTTCCGGTTTAAACCCACAAGTGTTTCTCGTGACCACCACCACCACCACCGCCGCCACGCCACCACCGCCGCCACGCCCGCAGCCGCCACCAGCAGCAGCAGGCACCGCTGCGCCCCCACCACCGCCACCGCGCCAGCCGCCACCGCCACCCCGCCGCCGCACCAGCACCCGCACCCGCACCCGCACCAGCACCAGCAGCCACCGCCACCACCACCAGCACCTGCACAGAGGCCACATCTTGCGTCAAGAACCTATCGGAGGAGGCGCTGATGCAGGCCCGGCAGGGGTGCGACTGCGTAAAGAGCCGTTGCAGGACGTAAGGGGGTTAGGGAAGTCACGGATTGGTGCAGTTGGAGGGAAGTCGCCCACTGATGGCAGGTCATGATATCCTTCCATCCTGGACCGAAGGATGGGAACGTTTCTGCCAGCACCCCAGATGGGGGATCAAATTACTGGTTCAGTACTGTCTCACAGATGAAATCCCGGATCTCCTTGCAGCCACACGACCAGGCCCTTCCCCAGCGCAGAAGCACTTAGCATGAAGGCTCGACTCCTTGCCTTCGCCAAGAATCTCTCGTGGTCCGGCCCGATGCAGCACCAGGCGCCTCAGAAAACTCCATCTGCCAGTGGCTGTCACCGTTCTCACCTGCTCCACTGAAAACCCCAAGATCAAGTTTGGTTTTGGATGACGCTGCCGATCCCAGACCCCACTCCCTCTCAGAGGCCCTCGGAACCGCAGACCTCAAAACCCGGTTACATTGCGTTTCGGCTGAACCGCAGAAGACTTTCTGGTCATCCTGGCACAGGGGAGGTACACAAACTCGAACCACAAAAAGAAGGGGGGAGCACTATCAATACTGACATGCATCATCACCATTCCATCCTACCTCATGTCCGCTTCCTTCGCAGTTCTTGTAGGCCACAACTTGTTTTAACTTGAGCCTGAGTCCTCTGGCCCCAATCTCGTCTGTTCTGTCTGATCCTGAATCCGATGCCACTCAGGCTAAACACAACCACCCAAATCTCGCCTCGCTGTCCAGGGGTCTTATGAGCAGCCCTGGCAGGATCCGAGTGCAGCCAAGAACTCGGACTATCTATAGGAAGCTACTCGAAAGGGTTATGGGGTTTGAGGGCTTGCTTCTTTTCTCAATTCTACTGGGATGTACCTTTAGTATTTAGGTACAGCGTCTGGGCTCACAGATGATACTCCAATCAGAACCTGGCTCGTTTAGACAGTCTTGCAATGCGTTGCGGTTGGGGATGGCTTCCGAGGTGCTGAGTTGCGGAATTTCGGGTGCTGAGCGGTAAGTTTCAAGGCCTCAGGGTTTTTGGTGTCCGGACTTTTGGGTCGAACGCACGCAGGAGCATAACGGTTGGTTGTTTTGGACTCAGAGTTGGGATGCCAGTGATCGCTTCGGCTTGGACGACGTATTCCGCGATTTGTACGGGGCTTTGTTGTTTGGTGTGCCTCGTGCGGCGGTGCCTGCGGGTTGATGACTCTTTGTAGCCAAGTCTGACGGCGGCTGCCATGTAGTGCGTGCTCTGCACCCCGATGCTTCTGGAGATCTGCAGCTGTCACCTGGACCCTTTTTCAAGCGGGGCAACGGCCTGTTTGCCCCAGATGTTCATTCATTACAGGTGCCGTTTTTTGGGATTTTTGGAAGCATTTGATGAAGGGCACTCCGGCTTGTCACAGCAAGCCTGGATCCAGCCGCTCACCATCAGTGCTAGACCGCTAGACGAGAGTTTCAAGCTCTCTAAGGCCCTGGGCCTTAGGCCCAACTGAGCGAGCTTAACTAATAATGGCGTGGGATTGACGGCTCGGGGACGGAATGCCTAAGGCCATGCCGACGCCATCGCCCTCGGCGCCCATCAGCTATGCTCCGCCACGTGCGCAGGCACTTGGGCCACTTGGGGCTGCTGTCACTCTGGCCAATCCCATGCGGATTGCAACGACGGAGCCGAAATCGAATTTGAGGTTCGTTTTGATGGTTCCTGACTTCTCCGACATACGCGTCATTTGGAAGAATTGCCTTTGTCGGGCTTTCGGACTGGATCGGCTTCTTCTCTGGATCAATTTCTAATGGCTCGGAGGTGCAGGCTGCTGCGTGCACCTGCCAGTTTACATGGCAGTCAGCCTCTGAAGCAGCCTCGCGCGATGTGCTTTTGCGTCCCAAACAGCCCCTAACCGCTACGTTGGACGCACCGTTCCGTCTGTCACGCAGGCGCGCAGCGCATCATCCGTTATCTGGGAGCTCGCCACGTACTGGCAGCTGGACCAAGGTGGGACTACAAGGAGAGAGGGTTGAGTTCGGCCGACAGGCAGTCACGAAAAGGTGCAATGATCGGCCTGATTTAACCGGTGTACTTCGTTGATGCTGCGTAGCTGTATCACGAAGCGGCAATCTCCAACATCAAGGCCTTGGCTGATCTGGGCAATCAGGGCAGCAGTCAAGTCCCGGAATAAACAGGCCCAAAGGTTCAAGGTTTGGAGCAGGCGAGGTAGAGCACGAAGTTGTCTTGATTCTTGATCACCTAGCCGTAAGACGCCAGATGAGTAGTTTTCGCAAGGCCGTTGCAGCGCAGCTGAACGTAGAGCCCTGAAATATTGTTCGCGGGCTTTCTTATTCTTGGCTCCAATCCCAATTTTGTTGACATTAGTTGATCGGAGGAGCACGCAGTAGCACATCCCGCCTGGCATCGGAGTGGCTTCCAAACTCTGAGAGATGACGCCAGGTTCTATAGACTTTTTGATGCAATTGCCGGACGAGGCCATGACGGACCGCTTCTTAACTTTAGCGCCCTGTAAGTCGTGCGACGACCTGCATGAGACTGAGCCTCACTTGGCATGTCCAAGCTATAAATGCAGCAAATGTCAAACGTCCGAACAGCCTGCTGATTGAGTCTAACTGAGTTAGTCTCAGGGGTATTAGCAGATTTCGGCGTCATCAGTGCCCAGGCAAAGTCATGATGAGACAGTCATCACCCCACTGGAGCCCGGTGATGTGCAGTTTTTCGTTTCTATCGTCACGGCTGCTGTTTTTCTCGGCCTGACTCCCGCCGCCACGGCTGTCCGAGGGCAGTAGTCTCGCTGCCATCGGCGCCCTCAGCAATGGCAGCTACTAGTATCCAGCCTTCGCCAGGAATCCCAACCACTTGCAGGGCTCTCCAGCTGGCGAGTTTGCAACCGCGGTTTCTATTTCGGGAAAATGCGGTGAAGCCCTGCCGCTTTACCAGACTATGGGAAAGTACTTTCGCTCATCCAAGGGATCTATCGCGTGATACTTGTAATTGCAAGCAGCCCTCGATTGGACGGCCGTTCGAAGGCACATTCGTCCGCCAATGGTTTCCACTCGCTCTTATATCTCGGACGCACTTAAATCAATGATCGAAGCTCTAGACTGATGCCGCAGCCCATGTTTCGGGCAAACCTCGGAACTGCCGCTGGCCCACGGGCCCCTGTAGGCTTGTCGTTGCCGCTCGCAACTTTGGGCCGACATGTCGTTGGCCAGCACATGCTCTAAGTCAGATTGTGTGAGCAGTATAGCCTTTAGGCCTTCAGTTTGCAGGGTTTCTGAATGCAGCACCACCTCATACCTCTTAGTTATGATTGTTGACCCAGCAGGCGGATCTTGTGCCCAGAGCAAGTTCAGAAAATTCCACGTTTGACGGCCTTGTGGTGTTGACCCCCAGAGAACCGAAACCTGCGCAGATCAAGTGGGAAATCTCCACGGGCTTCAACCCTTGGGGGGCGAAGGCAGGCAACAGGGTGGTTGTTCGCAGAGTTGAGTTGGCAAGGGGTTGCTACAGAGGGTGCCATCTCCGCAAAGGCAGGATTACCTGGGGCGATGGGCTCAGTCACAACGTGCAGTGGTTGAGAAAACAGCTCCACAGCCCCAACTGATCAACTCAAATTATACGGGTTTCAGGGGGTGGAAGCTCATGTTCCCCCACATCCTCCCATTTCGAAGAATTTGAGACTGCGGCTTAATGCCGCTCTTCAACGCGAGCCGGAAGTTGACAAATGGGTCAGGATGGGAACATTTGGGGACGCCTCTTGGGCTTCATCCGCGTCCTCGTAGCGCAGTGGGTCGGATGGGCCGCGCACTCAGTGCAATCACTCCTCTCCGGGCAAGAATGGCCCGAGGCCCCCCCGGAAGGCTTCTGTTCCAATGCTAGTCTCATTTCTCCGAGCATTCAGTGAACCACTGCGTGATACTACTTTGAGAAGTGTTGGGTCTGGTGGCCATGGCAACTCGGGCAGCATGTCATGGTTAGCTTGCAGACCATGGCAAAGCTTCGAGCATGCAGCTGCGAGTAGTGTATGATCCTAGCGGGAGCCCCAGCAGCAGATATTTGTAGGGGCAGAAAAGAAATGCTAGAGTGCATGGCTAAGGATCGGACCAAAGTGGAATACATGAAGACACTACCAGAGGCCGCAGCGTGAGCTGGCGCAGCCTCATGACCAACAAGTCAGATCAACCCTGCACCCTTTTGTTTTGGAGCGCTGAACCTGATTGATTCATTCTAAGTCAGTTATAGTCCATATCGAGCCAAAAGCCCAAACACCGGGAAGCCCCAGTTTTGTGTATCCTATATCCGCGTGGCTCGCAAGGTCATAAGACTCGAAGCCCTGACAAGCAAAGCATATATTAGAAGAGTCTTTTACCGAGTGGAAACTGGCGATCATGGGCTGTCGCTCGGATTGGGAGGACCAGCAGAAGGAGATGATTCTGTGCTGGCCTCGGGATGGTCCACATCTGTTCTGAGGCGGCGGTGGCGATTATGATCGGTCGTGCGATCGTCAACGTCACCTCTGCAATCACCAGACCATCATCAAAAACATTGCCAATATATACCAGACTGGTGATAACCGCGATGACTAGCATGAGTACAGGGGTGAAGAAGCCTACGACAATTATGACGGCTGTGGGGATGATGGCTAGTGCTGCGAATGATGTAGCTAGCGATGAGGATGGCGAAGATGAGGATTGTCCTGATGCGCCTGGTGTGGGCGATGATTGTCTCGTCTTGATGACGGTCCAAATTGGACCGGCTGAGTATGGTTCGTACCTGAACAGCATGGCAGCATGGATGTCAATGTTAAGAATTGAAGACCGCATCGCCATCCTGATTATGGGATGATGATGAGGAGGAGGAGGACGATGGTAGTGGTTGCCCTGGTCATGGTGATGTTGAAATGTTTGAAGAGATGGTGATCGTGTCGCTGATGGTGCTGGTGCTGGTGCAGAGGCCGGTGCTGATTGTGGCACAAAGCTGGCTTCCTGTTCCTTTGTGAATAAAAGCCATTCGAAATCAGGACTTCGCTTTCCGCCGTCTATCAGGGCTACACCAACCAGGCAGTGTGGTCTTCGCCACGCCGGGGCCTTGGTTTTTGGGTTCTTGTCGGTTTTAGCCAGTTGTCCAGCTGATTTTGGGATGGGGCGATACTTGGGTGGCTTTGCAATGGGGCGCATGTTTCATCACTCTCGGCCCAAGCCGGAAGCCCGTGCCATGATCCCATGTACCCTGGCGGGCCAATACCATCCACCAGAGACCTGCCAAGTAGGTCCCCCTCCGAGAACTCCTCGTGGGCCACGAGGCGCCCGTGGCATCTTCTGCCCGCCGAGACCAAGCGCGGCGGTTTTCGGCTGTGAGCCGGATGAACATGTGTCTGCCAAGTCCATCGACTTGGAGGTCCGCTTGGAACGGCTCCTCTTCGGCATGTTGAGCCGATCCTATGAGATTCCGCGTGGTGCGCTGGGGGCCGAGGTCAGCTGGCTGTTGCAGACACTGCTGCAGAAGTTTCAAGAAGGCCTGGAAGCGCTCCGCTTGTTGGCTTGTACCTGGACCTTCCGGCTTTGCTTTGCCAACAGCTCGGTTTGGTGGCAAAGTTGGGGGCAACTGTCGGATCTGCTGGAGCACGCCGCCGAGAAAATGGTGGCGGTGGGCTATGACATTTTCGAAACATATGGGGTTCATGCGAGCTTGGTGCATATCCCCAAGCCTGCCGCCGTTCAAGCCGGTAGAAATGCCATCCCTGAGATGTTGCTTGGTCGCGCAAGCTGTCCTGTTGTAAAGTTGTAGGCTGGAGCTGTTTCGTTCGTGGAAGACGGACATGTGGAGCTGAGGTTGCTCCAGGCGGAGAGCTTCTACCACGCCTTCACGACATCCATGGATCCCATTTTTGGCGACGTTATACCGCAAGTTTTAGAGCATCGGAAGCGCTTCAATCGGCAGGCACTTGGCCTGAAGATATACTCGCCCGACTTCCCGCCGGAGGTCCCGGGAAGCCAGCTATGGCAGTCCTACCCGGCCAGTTTCGCCGGCAGTTGCCAGTCGGCTGCCAATCTGCCGTCGCACGAGAGGAGACAGGACCGAGAGGGGTTCGGAGGTGCCTTTGACATGTCGGGCCTACGGATGAGACATCGGACGATAGAGGAGGTGGTGTCAGAGATTGCGAAAGTGCAGGAGTTGTCTTTCCAGGTGCTGAACTTGGGAGCCATGGATGGCAGGTGTAGCGGCGGACCCTCTACAGATCCTGCGAACTGTTTGCTGCAGGGTTCGGCGATGAACCGTTCCTGGGGTGGTGTGGTGGTCGAGGCTGCCCCACCCCCGAAGCTTTGGGAAGTCTTCGGTAAGCGACATGATGTGGTTATTGTGGACAAGGCGGTGTTTCCGGAAAATGCTTCGAGAGTCTTCGACTTCGGACTGCAGGCACCAAATCCACCCAAAAGTTTGGACTTGCTGAAGATCGATCTGGACTCCTTTGACTGTGACGTGGTCTCCAGTCTTTTGAGAGTGGGGCCTTTAGCGAGAAATCCTCCCAAGCTCCTTTACATCGAGCCCTGGAGTGTCAACCAGAAGATGTTCTTCTTCTTATTATTATGATTATTAGAGCATCTCTTGTTAACATGGCACATGAGTTTGCAACTCCCGTCACACCTTCGCAACTGAGGACTTCAATCCTCACATCCCTCCACCCTTTCTCTACCGGACCATCTCAACCTCACAAACAAGGATCATACCTTTCCAGGGCTCTTCCCTGCAATGCTTCTTGGAGGCCGCACGCAACTTCAGGCTGTTGCACGTGGAGCTCTTCAACGCGGTTCTGGTGCGAGAGGACCTCCGCGTAGCTCTCTGCAGAAGGGGTACGGTGAAGTTTTCTTGTAAATAGGTGGAGGGCGGCCAAGCTTCCGGAGCCACAGAGGTAGTATAAAAGTGCTGTTTAGATCGTAGATTTAACCAAGCTAAACTCCACCCTTCCACTCCCTAAACCTTCCACCCCTCCACCCTCCACCCCTCCACCCTCCACCCTCCACCCTCCCTCCCCCCACCCTCCACCGCCCACTTCTCCACCCTACCGCGGAGGGTGGAGGGAGGAGGGGTTGTGGAGGTTGGAGGGATTTGAAGGGGCGGAGGGGCTCCGTTTATTTATTCTGGGCTTGGCGGCCGGGCCCCGAAGCCGACGGAGGTAGTACAAAATAGCTGTTGAGGCATTTCAAAATCTGCATATCATAACTTAAGAAAAGAGAGGATCGTCACCAGGACCTCAAGCACCTCTTCCCTGAGTTGCGGCTTTTGGACCCCTACCAGCAATGGGTGCAGGGCTACTTCTGCCATCCCCTGGCCCGTGTCTTGTGGCACCGGGAGCGCGGCATCCGTTGGCTGGGTACAGATCCCCGAGCCTGGGCCCAAGGGCCTCAAGGGAAGATCGATGAGATTGGGGAGAGCATCCTGCAGGTCCTCGGCCGCATACGGGAGCGTGTGCCGGGCTTCGAGTTCTCCTTGACCTGGTAGCTCCTTGCAGATGGAAGCGCAGCGCGAAGAAGTTGCAAACGGTGCAGCCAAGCAGAAAAGAGCAACACGACGCAAGCACAGTGTTTCAGGGGCAAACTACCGGCAGGTTTCACAGCTGCTCAGGCTATATCTTGAAAATTCAGGTTCCGTTGGCGTATGAACCTGCAACTGCAATGTTCCCAAAGTTTCTCAAGTTCGACTTCGGGTGGGATTTCCGTAAATCCCAAACCTGTATCAAGCGGATTTCGTAAAGCCCCACAGCCTCGCATCGAGGCCCCAGCGCTCCGAGTGGAACACCGACCCTGAAGCAATTCGTCGACCGCTGGGGTCTGGACGAGCGGGCCAGCCAGTTCCTGCAGGCAAGGGCCTTATGCCTTATGGTGCAGGGACTTTTTGAGCACCGGTGCGAGTCGCGTTTCTTGCAGGCCTTACCACACCACGTTCTGCAGGTGGTGCTGCTTCGGGCTTAGTGCGATTGCCGGGAAAACTGCATACGCAGCCTTCCGCCTCCTTATTTTACATCCGTAAATAGTCCTTCTCTCAGCCAGCCTGCCTCAGGTCGGCATTCGACGCCTCTGCTTCTGCAGATGGAAATGTGCTGGGGGCTCAATCTGCTAGATCAGCGGAAGGGATGTGTAAGTAAGTGTTATGCAGGCCCGCTGGAATAGGGTACCTTCAGTGTTTGTTTGTCACTATTTATTTATTTAGGCGGTTTTTCTGGTTTTGGTTGTGTTGTAGGGAAGACGGAGAGAAAGGCAGGTCAGCAAAGGCAAAAAAGAAAGACAGAAAGAAATAAAGAAAGGCAGGAAGGAAGGAAGAAAGGACGAAAGAAAGAAAGGATGGAAGGAAGGAAGGAAGGAAGAAAGAACGGAAGAACGAAAGCAAGCAAGAGGCGGAAAGAAATGATGAAACACAGGACAAAAGAACGAAAGACAGAAAGAGGCAGGAGAACGACAGAAAGGAAGGACGAAAGAAAGAAAGAAAGAAAGAAAGAAAGAAAGAAAGGAAGAACCTTGAACACACCCCTCACTTGGCGATTCCAGTTCACATATATAGCAAACACGCCCCCTCATTTGGCGATTCCGGTTTATCATATATCTTAAACATGTTCCCTTTTTTGGCGATTCCTGTTCATCATATAGCTTACACACGCCCCCTCATACGGCGATTCCGGTTCATCACTCATGCTTCGTTTTGAGCTGCAATCGCCACATCAAGGAGCGTGTTTTTTACATATATCATGATGAAACGGAATTGCTAAATGAGGGGGGCATGTTGAAGATATATGGTGAACCGGAATCGCCAAATTCTAAAGACATATCACGAACCAGAATCGCCAAATGAGGGGGTGTGTTTCATGAAGCGGAATCGCCAAATGACTGGTGGAGGGTGGGTGGGTGGGAGAGAGGGGGGTGTTAAGACATATGATGAACCGGAATCGCCAAATGAGGGGGCGTGTTCAGGATATATATCTTGTATTTATCTAGCATATATATATATATATGCATTTACGTATGATGCACCGGAATCGCCAAATGAGGTCCCTGAGGTGGCGTGTTTAAGCTGTATATATATATATATGTATGTATGATGAACCGAAATCGCCAAATGAGGGGGCGTGCTTAAGATATACGTTCAACCGGAATCACCACATAAGGGGGAGTGTTTAAGCGACCTAGATGGGTATGTATGTATGCATGTATGTATGTATGTATGTATGTATGTATGTGTGTATATATATATATGTACACATACATATTTATATATATTTAGATGATGATGGTGATGATGATGATGAACCGGAACCGCCAAAGAGGGGCCGTGTTCAGATATATGATGCCCCGAAATCGCCATATGAGGGGCGTGCTTCGGATGTATGATGACACGGAATCGCCAAATGAAGGTGCGTGTTAAGAGATATGTCTACACAACAATAACACACACGTATGTATATATATATGCTCACATATACATATATATATATATACATACATACATACATACATACATACATGTGCGATTGCCAATACATACATATTTATGATGAACCGGAATCGCCGAACGAGGGGGCATGTTTAAGATATACACATACATACATACATACATACATACATACATACATACATATATATATATACATATATGTATGTGATGCACCGGAATCGCCATCGCAAACCCCCAAGAGCTTTCTGCGGGGTACCTCTTCACCCAGCCCGCAACCCCTATAGCTCAATCCTGACGCCGCCAGCGGGCGACGGCCGTCCGACGCCCCAGGCTCCCGACGCAAAAAGGATGAGCATGAGTTTAAAATCGGTCAGGCTGCTGAGAGGCCCGTGGAAGCCTGAAGCCCGTAAAAATCAATAAACAAAAACAAAGAATACACAAACAAGGGTTACAGGCAGACGAGGAGCACAGGCAGGACCAGGGGGCCACGTTCCGAAAGCGACAGGAAAAGCATTCAAAGCCGCAAAAAGCCTCACAAACACCAGAAGAAACCTTTACAAAACAAATCCTCGCTCCGCTGGAATACCCTGCCGGCCAAATCTCGAACTCCGCCACCCAGTCATGGCCGCTCGAAAGGTGGGGTCGCCTCCTCGGCTTCGTGCGTTCGACGTGGGGAAGAACTATGAAGCTCCCATTGGTCGGCGGCTCTGCTATGCTGTGCTGGTACAGTCCCCAACTGCCGACACGCGCCAAACCTGCGCATAGCTACTGCAGTTCGTTTGGTGCAGAGAGGGTTTCTCCTGCTGCTCCTCGTCCCTCATCTCTCCTAGAATATGCAAAGGGCGATGTTCAACAGAGCCTTTCATGAGTCCATGGCAACCGTGTGCCTCAAGCCAAGCTTTCAGGAGGAAGTATCACACCTCAAGACCATGCCCGACCTTGCTCCTGGGCCTTGTTCAGTTGTTTTTGGGATGAGCATCCTGTGCGTTGCATTTAGATGCGTCTTGCCCCGATTGGGTAACGGCTTCGTTCTTGGGCGATGTGTGGTTAGGAAGTGAAAAATCGCAATCATCCTTTGCTGCCCAGAAGCGGAGGCAGAGGAGATCCGTGTCTCCGTCACACCCTTCGCTTGCAATGAAACAGACTCGCGTAACCTACGCAAAGTATCTGTGCCTGTGAATCTTCAACATCGTCACCGTCATCAGTGTCACATCAAGCTCGTCCTTTCAGAGCGCCCAGCTCACCATTATGATGATCATTCTCATCAGCATCATCAACATCAGCCGCAACAGCTGCATCACCATCATCATCGTCGTCATCATCATCGTCATCGTCATCATCGTAATCATCATCATAATCATCATCACGATGCTAAATCCTGGCCTGTGCATCTTCAGCAGCATCTCGGTCCAGCCACCTTGCACAGTTCTTCATGTGCTGCAACAGGGGAATTTGGAAGTGCATAAGCAGGCGTGGCAGAGAATGTTTCAGTGCATGCAGCACGAGGCATTGTTCTGGGTTCGGAAGTCTTGCGTGCGTGAACTGACGGGGAACGAGCGATTGGGTTCGTCAAGGTGTGCAGGCAGTCGCGGTTGGTTGCAGCATCCGTGACGGTATCGGGTGGCTCATGTGTTGCTAGGCTCTGCCGGAAGGGGACATCGCCAGAAAATCCTGCTTCAGAATGCTGGCACAGCTACCAACTTCATTTCTAAATGTTTTCAAGGTTCAGGTCCAGATCATCACGGCCCGGCCCTTAGAGGGCCACGTCACATGCGTTCAGCAAAGGGCCGTGCTCCTGTTGGTTTCCAAAGCCGTGGCAGGACACAACTTTAAAACTAAAGGGTGGGAAGCTGGGGCAAAGTGATTTTGGCCGACTAGCCTTTGGCATCGTGTCACGGGCTGCACTGAAGTCTGAAGGTTGACGCTGCTAGGGTTGGTCAGACGGAGTTTAACGGGTGTGCTTCTAAGGTGGGTTTGGATCTGAGAGCTGCGGCCTTTGGAACCAAGTAATTAATTTCTGCAGTGCTTGCCGTGGAAGACCAGCTGGCAGCCTAAATAGTTCGCTTAAGAAACAGTCCGAGCCACAGGACTCTGGAACGGTTGAAGTCGGAAGAACCGGCAGGTCTGCCTATGCCCGAGGCGCACAGCCCCAGCTCACCATAGAGGAGTTTAGCAGGGAAGCTCCCAACTCCTTCGATCTCAGATTCACTTCTCAAGCCATCCAAGCCGCAAGACTGCCTCAGGAGTACAACCCTGCCAGTGGTATGCGGCTTGTTGACTTCGCCAATCAGACGTTGCAGGCACTGCTCGGACCCCCACTGCAATAAACCGTTATGAGGCACCTGACATGGCGCGCTTTAATCGCTGCAGTCCAGCAACAGGCAGAGGGTCCGAGGGTGTGTTTCTCAGAGCACCCTACGGCACAGCCAGGCCTCAGGAATGGCCTCAGAGATGCCTGTCGCGCCGGCGCCGGCTTGGCTCCCCAGTTCTCCGCTTTGCGGCGTGTTTTGGTCTAGAGAAATTGGGGCTGTCAGAGCTTTGGAGGGCTGAGGTTATTCTGAGTAGTACAAGCTTGAGTTTGCAGCCCTCTTATAAGTGAGCTATCCGTCGATTGCGTATCCTTCAAATTTGGGGATATATGCGGTTCAGGCGGTTCTTCTGTCCGTGCCAAAGATGGTCTTCTTCACGATGGAAGACGATGCACATAGGTCCTGGTTGACGCGCTACGGGGCTGTGGCTCACCGTGTCATAACGGGTCCTATCTTTGTGAACCAAGTTACACGTCCAGCAGGCCATCCCTACTCTATCCGCTAGGATGAAGTGATTCCAGCGTAAGTAGAGTGTTGTGTTTTGCCCGACTGCAGCCAAGCCAAAGCGAGGAGCGAGAAAAGCTCCGCGGATTTGAACGGCGACTAACACCGGAGACCTCACACCAGCAGGCACCACAAAAATAGTATCCAAGTCAATAGAAGGATGCGGACCGGGCCGGTTCGATTCCAATGCCCAAGACGATGTGTGCGCACACCATGTGCTTCTGCAAGCATCAGATCATGAGACACGAAAATCACCCGCCCCCCCACCCCCGCCCCCACCGGCTGTTGCACACTGCTGGCAACCAGCAAGGCTTTAGAGGTCACGCTGTCCATAGCATGCGGCACCGCTGCGTCCCCCCGAATCTGTGCTGGACCACAATTTCGTGTGAATCCTGCCGGGACACCCATACCCTCTTGACGCTCAACTTTCAACAACCTTGAATTCGAGTTCTCCTCTTAGTCGGCTTCAACTGCTGCAATTCATTCGGTGAAGCCTCATCTGGATCCTGGGATGCTGTCCGAGATTCATCATCGAAAGGACTTCATGAAAACTCTGCTTGAGCTCGTGGGGCCCAGGTACCTCCCGTCGACCCTGGGGCCGTGGACGCTTTCATCGCGCGCTGCGGCCGGGGCACCTGGAACAGATAGCAAAAACCGGCACTTGCGACTCGGGACGTTCTTTACGCACCATGTCACCATGTGGCTGCGTTTCTGCAGTGCAGGTTTCATAACACAGTTCCAGCTGAGGCCTCGAGCCCTCGGCCCGGGATATGTTGATGTCGTGCCGACACGGTTTCAGAGAAGGGCGGGGGTAAATGAGGATGAAGTATCTTCATCTCATAGCCTTTTCATTCAAGATCTTTCGCATTTTGTGCACACTCCAAGTTTTGCGCGCTGTGGCACTGCATCGCAGGCCCCTTTCCGTCCTTGGACAGCAATAATACCATATCACCGTTTTTTGAGTTTATTAGGCATAGCAATAGTGTTAGCGGCAGCAGCAGCAATCACAGCAACAGCAACCAACGACAACGACAACGACCACCGGCACCACCGGCACCACCACCACCACCACCACCACCACCACCAGCCGCGGCGGCGGCGACACCAACATCAACACAGCATCAACATCAACATCAACAACAGAAACAGCAACACCAACCAAAGCACCGTTGACAAAAGCAGGGGTAGCCCAAAACACAGGGTGAACCTCAGTGGATCGTATCACCATGGATACTCTCGGACCCTCGCTCTCCATTTGGTTTCCATGCACGAAGACCCCCGTACCCGTGCGCCTGTATGCAGGCTTGAGCGTTAGCCGCTAGCCTAAGCTTCCGTGCTGTGGATGCGACAGAAACTTCTACCCGAAGGAGCACTGGCGACTGTCTTCCAGGAAGCAAAAAGAAAATATGAAGAGATTACAACCCGTCTCAACTCTGACCGCTTTATGCTTAAGCGGGCCGCCGCCTCATTGTGTCCAAGCAAAGCGATATCGGTGAACTTTCAACTTACGGACTTTCCCACGATGAGAGTTACATGGTTTCTCATGTACGCTTTAGGAGGCGCTTTGTCGCGGTCTTGCACCGAGTCAAGCATCTAGCACGACCACACACGCCATCAACACCACATCTACAATGACCAATGCACCCCCACCGCCGCCAGCACCGCCACCACCACCACTGCCAGCAGCAACAACAACCAGCAGCAGCAGCAGCAGCAGCAGCAGCAGCAGGAGCACAGCAACAGCAACTACAGCAATAGCACCAGAACCGATGACGACGACATCGGTGACAGCAACGGCGACAACAACTCCTGCTCTGGCGACATCTGCAGTTTTGGACCTGAGCCCGCTTTTGCTCAGGCTGACTGACCTGCCAGCTTGCCAATCTTGTCCCATTGAAGTCTCTTTCCCACTGGCCTTAGCCGTATGACACTCGCACCTGGAACCGCAACCCCGATGCGGCACGCGCTTTGGCAGTGCTTTGCCGCCCGAGAAGCTGACGCATGTCATGGAGACCTTCAACCCAGATGGCACCAAGGAGATTCTTGAGTTCTAAAGCCGACAACAGTATGCGCGAATCCTGGGCTGAAATCCCCCCCACGAACAGAGGCAAGACAATCCTTTTGAAACTCTGCCACCCCCTCCCGCCCGAAACAAGGTTCTAAATTTCAATGAGACCAATGTCATTCAATCAAGCACTTCAGATTCTGTGGTGGTTCCACAGCGTCGCTTGGTCTCTAGGACTAGGAGCATTCCTTTGAGCTTTGGCTGAGGGTTTCTGCGATTCCGGCGAGGGCTTCCCAGTTGGTGCAATTGCGGAAAATGCTGCATCTACTTCTGCACGGCGCAGTGTCGTGTGATGATGCGCATGCACGACATTCCAACCACGGACCCCTGCAAGCCGAGCCCTCAAATTGAAAAGCCTAAGCCTGCAGGATCCTGTAGGATATTGGAGGGCAGAGAAGGCATTGTGCCGAAAACTTGCTTCGTAGACGGGTGATGATGTCGCTGGTGACACACATCATAGACTTAAGAAAGGCTCCAGTCAGGTTTAGGAGTTTCAAGGTTCTCGGCTTGGAGGCTCTGGGAGCGCCCTGCGTCAGGACGGCAATGTCCTGGGCCGCCTCGAAGGCTACATCAGGTCGATGTCCGCAGTGTCCTTAAAAACAAATTGGGACTTGGGACCAAGAAGAAGCGAGAGTTGGAGATCAGCGTAACGCCTCAATTTTCATGCTGCTCAGCCCGAAACACATGAACGTCAACTTCCACATGCATGTTCTTGAATGCCGGTGTCTTATGGTTTCTGCCGATCACATGTTGCAGGGTGTAAGAAATTCGGGGTTTCGAGGCGCTTTTGTCTTAGGTCGTGGCTTATATTAAGTTGCTGAAACCCATTTGCCCGAGGTCTTCAGGCAAGGAGCAAAGAGAGCTCGCATTTACTGAGAAGCAGAAAGACTGAAAGGCGAGGCTTCTGCTCGCATTACGGATTAGAAGAGACAGGGCCTAGGGCGTGTCCGTGAAGAGGTTTTGGTTAGCAGAAGAGGAGTAATGTAACGGTGTTTCTCGGAGTCAACGAATAGGCAAAGACCGAGGACACTCACGGATCTCTGAACTCTAAGCCTTCATCGTGTGGCAGGCCCTGTTGCTAACTTGTGGGTTCGAGAAACCGCTTGCGCTGCTACCACGGAAGCATCTGTTCCAGACTTCCTCTTGGCGGTGGTAAACAGAAGGTCTTCTGTCATCATGTGAACGTCAAAGTCGCGATTGTTTGAGAGTTCAGGACGTCCAGGGCTTGGGCTTGATGGTAGAGGCGTTTGCCCCGACAGACTGTGCTTCGGGTACTCAATGCCCCGCAGCCTTAACTTCATTGATCCAGTTCTTGGAAATAGAGTAGCACGGGGTGAGGGACCTTCTGCGCAGCTGACTCGCACGAGCCGTGACATGTCCTGCCATGGCGGAAAAAGACTGTGTGCAGGCGCTCAAGGGTGCGTGTGTGTGTGTGTGTGTGTGTGTGGGTGGGTGGGTGGGTGGGTGGGTGGGTGGGTGGGTGCGTGCGTGCGTGCGTGCGTGCGTGCGTGCGTGCGTGCGTGCGTGCGTGCGTGCGTGCGTGC